TCTATGATTCTATGATTCTATGATTTAGCTTATGGATATTTTAAATAAAATTGTACTAAATATTCTTAAACCAAATGAAGCGTGAGGTCCCAGACACCGGCATCCATAAATCGTTTAAACTGTTCAGCTGGAGCAGTTGTTACAGTGATTTTGATAAGCAAGTTGGAGAGGGAAGATCCTCTCAGCAGTTTTTGATCGAGGCAGATGAAAAGAAAGGCAAAACCCTGAGCAGCAGGGAATGTAAGGGTGCAGTTTCCATCGAGGAAAGACTATTCAAGAAGTGGCAGAGAGGGAGGCTTATGTGCATTTTCACCCCAGTCCAGCTCCCCGTATAAAGGCTCCAACCTGGTGCTCAGTCCCAGTCCCCGGCTGGTTGCCCGCAACCCGATTCTGTTCGTTGCATCTGCTGCCACCTCCTGGCCTGCTCCTTCTGAGAAGTGCGAGCAAGCCACGCACAGTGTCCGGCACACAGAATCGGACATAAGTTTTCATTAAAATCGTGAAATTAATCAAGTGAAGTTCACTTTTTCTGGAGGCAAGGAATACCACTGCCAGCCTGCTGGACAGAGTGCAGATGACTGACGTTTTTTACACGCCTTCTGCTTTCTCCAGTTCTTCCTCCAGAATGACACACACAGACCTATAAAATGTCCAGTTTATGACAGTGCTCTTCTTTCTTTCTGTTGTGTAGCTCTCCGAATCCTCCTCCTCCTCTTGCTCCTCCACCCAGTCCACGGAAACATCTTCCTCGGGGGTGTCATCTTTAATCTCATCCCCTTCTGTGCTGTCCTCCAACGACAAGTGCTCTCTCTCCATGACACCCATTACCTCAAAAGCACTGCCTCCTGTTTACAACCAGCAGAACAAAGACACGTGCATCATCCGGATCAGCATAGAAGACAACAATGGCAATATGTACAAGAGCATCCTGGTGAGTCGTGCGGAACAGCAAAATGCTGTTATTGTGGGTGATGTTTTCATCTAGGGTGACTTAAGCGAATGGTGCTTTTAGTTTTGAAAACACCTATTCACCGAGCCAACTAATCAAACCTGGTTTGAAAGGGAAAATGACAAATGTTACAATTCAATGTATGTGGAGCATGGTGCGAATGAAAGATTTGAAAACAGCATCTTTGTGGAAGGTTCTGGTCTTGAAATTAAAGTTTTTATTTTATCAACAAGTTCAAAGTGAAGCATTCCAATCAAGTGCAGGCTTTGCTGCTCCTGCCCTTCTGCTAGCGCTAGTTGCTTTTTCTCTAGCTCGGAATTTGTGTGCGAGTTTTGACACAAGATGCCACGTGCCAAGTTTTGCCTGGAGAAGCTTTCCCCAGGAGCTGGTTTCTGGAAACCAGGAGCTGCACGCGAGGAAGCTGACAAGCCCTTTAATTACGCAGCTTCTCTCTGCGGCAAAGGTTGCCAGACCAGCAGCAACCAGCGTTCAGGAGTTTCCCTCGATGCTGGTTCCATGGAGGGATTCTGGCAGTGCCGGGCCGATGGCTGAGGGAGTGCAGGGCCTGTGCTGGACCGTGGGCAACGTGACTCACCTGCACGCGATCTCTGCAGATACCTGACGGAGACTCAGCTGCTGAGCAAACACTTCGGGTCCCTCAGGGCCTGGGGGGAACAAACACACAGGGGGGTAGTTCTTAGCACGTTTACCTACCTTATGATTTTAATGGTCTGACCTCCCCAAATGGCAAAGAGCCGTTCCCTGAGGGCCTGACAAACTCGGCTACTGGCAAGACAAATCTTCCTTTTCACTGCATACGGCTCTGGACGGACCCTGTGTCTGCTCCGGATGCACAGCACTTCCACAGCAGACAGTAAACCCAGTTACAAGGCCAAAAATCTTTGCAGGATGTCAAAGAAAGTATTTAGCACAGGAGACTGCAGATTAATTGATGTCTGCAAACAACAGATGGGGCAGCTATTTATGTGGACTTTTATGGCTAGAGAGAACAACATCTCATCTCTCTAAGTGTTTGCTCAGGAGAGCAGACGCTGTGAGTTACTGCTGTCTCTTTTAGTACAGTATTTGTCATCTTGAACTAAAAAACTACCACCACCAAATGTCACAAATACCATCTTTTAGTATCTAGCAGTACTACTTCGTTACTGACCCATCATATTTTTTCAGTTCTCTGAAATCTTTTCCAAGACCAAGTGGGCTGCAGAAAGGCAGGCCTTTGCTAATTATTAAATCATTCTATAGAGTGAATAAGCAGAATGTCTCATTGCAACTCTCTCTTTCCAGCTAACTAGCCAAGACAAAACTCCTGCTGTCATCCAGAGAGCTATGCTGAAGCACAACCTGGAATCTGATTCAGCTGAGGATTATGAGCTTGTACAGGTCATCTCCGAGAACAAAGGTAGGGAAGCAGAACTCTGCTGCTGCTTTAGAAGTTCTGCTGGATTTTGTAGGAAAGAGTAAAACACGAAGCAATGTTAGAAATGCCATGGACATGTTGTCACAGCTGCCAGTGAGAATAACCCCCCTCGGTAACTGGTGTGCAGGGATGATTTATCACGGCCTGTCACGACATTGCTTTATACAGGCAGAGCTCACCCGTGGGTTGCCAGTAGACCTTCGTATGTGCACTGCGACTGTAGAGCTATCGACCGAAGCTCAGTCTGCCACAGGGGTTGGGTGGCAGGGTACGACCTCCCCAGGGATCCCACTGCTGTCATCGGGCCGTGCAAAGAGAGCTTTCAGCACCGCCTCCTCTCGGAGTGGCTGCCGGGGCCTCCGCCTGGCTGGACGCGGTCTGGGTTTGGCCGCCGTCTCCTGTCCTCTGCGACCCTGCTCCCCCTTTTTTGTAGGCCAGCTGCTGTGGGTGCCACCCGATGCAGCTTCGGCCGAAGAGGCACCGCAGGACAAGGAAAGGGGCCCTGGCTGCGTACCCGGTCCCTGCCCTCTCCTGGCTTTCCTTCTGCCACCTGCGGTACTGCAAATTAACACTTGCTCTGGTTCCTCTTTTGCAGAGCTGGTGATGCCAGCCAACGCCAACGTGTTCTACGCCATGAACAGCCACGTGAACTTCGATTTCATCCTGCGGAAAAAAGCTTCGGTCAACGGGCAGGTGAAAATGAGGGGCCGCTGCAGCCTGACCCTCCCCAGAACTGCCAAACAGGGGTGCTGGAGCAACAGGCCCAGCAAAATTACACTGTGAGGGGGACAACGGCGCAGGGAGGAGGATTGGTTGAGAACTGTACCTTTGCTACCATCCAGTATTACGGAATCACAGCAGATGAATGTATCAGTATTCAACTTTGAAAATATTTGAGGCTGAAATGCAAAGTGAGCATTTGGTAGACCTATAGCCAGAGATGTGCCTCTCCTCCCCTGCAGCCGGATATGGACAGACAGACACGGATTTACGGGACAATACGGACTGGAATTTTTTGTTTTGTTTCGTTTTTTTTTTTGTTTTGCACATTAGCCTAGGAAGGTGAGAGCCCCAGTTTGAGGGGAAAACAGGACTGCAACATTTGTCTTAAGAATACCACACAAGCCAACTCTTTTTGTGAGAAAACATTTTCCCTTTGTGCCAGTATTACACAGAAGAACGTCTAAATTTATTTTTATAAAACTGGAGAAGAAAAGTCTCAATACAATTCTGCCTGAACCAAGGAGAAGGTCCCGGCCAGCCCCCAGCTGACTGACGACTGACGGGAGCACTGGTTTGCGGAAGGTGTGGGTGAGCCGAGCGCCTCTAGCAGCTGCTGCCTCCAAGAGGCATTTGCATTGATGAAGCATCATCGCTGGAGACAGCAGAAACTGCAAGTGTGCGTACTGCTTTCACACAGCTGGCAAACTTCTTTTTTGCACTTGTTCCACGCCAGAAAATTACCTATTTTGGACTTTTTTTCCAAAGAACTTTAAAAGAATGGACTGCACTTGCTTTTGGATGAATGTCATGGTTTGTTCATGGACAAGGCAAACAAACACTACTTGTCTGGATTTAGGTCTTGTCTTAATGCCACTACAGGGTGGTTTTCCTTTTACTTTGCTAACCCATTGAACAGAAATCGATGCCTTTTGCGTGTACTCTGAAATGACTGATGTACCTCTTTGTAATGTGCAATCACTCTTCGAGAGCAAAACTTTTAACTCACGTTTTCATTCACGAGGGGCAACTACATGACCTTTTGTTTTAGAAGTGGGTATTGAGAGGAGATAGCCAGGTTTTAAGCACTACCCCAAACAACCAGAGATTTTATATACTTGTAGCATTATTATGCATAATCTACAGGCACCTCCCTTGCTCTTCACATACATCTGTTAAATGAATTTTCTGACATGGTACATCCTTTCAGCTGGAATAGAGAGTTCAGCTGGAATAAAGAATTTAATCATCAGTTCTCTGTGAAACTTTAAATAATATACTTCTCGAGTCTTTTCCCAGAACACAAGCTTCCTTGAAAGGATAGTTAGAGGTTTTATTTTAAAAAGCCATAAATAAGACATTGGATTGTAAGCAGCCCTTACTGAACAGGCTGTCTTTCAGATAGATTAGTATTAGTTAAAGTAAACTCAAATACAGAATGTTATACATGCCTTTTTTCCCCACCAGTTCTGTAGCACTAGTTTTCAAAATTGGGCTCGGATTACATTAACGACCAGTGATAAACTCATGACGCAAACAATGCTGCGTTGTACTACCTTTTACACTACATGAAGATTTATCACCTCTGTTTACAAGTAGCACCATGCAGGGCCTAGTCCGAATAGTTTAGGAATTCCAATTGTATTTTTGTTGAGAGGGTGAAGATGTTGAGTTTGTAACTGAGCCTTAACCTTTGCCCAGAGTTAGGGCAAGATTAAAATAGAAGTTCAGTTTTCTTTGCATTTCAGTGTAAGCATGCATTGATGTCTGTACGGTATCATTTGTAAGGTATAGTGTAGAGGTTGTATGTCTGTATTAAGCTGAAAGGTGAATGTTCTTGATTTTAAAATTACACCATCCAAAAGGTTATATATGAAAAAGATTTTTTTAATTGCTTACCTGTTATCTTTATACAATAAGTATATAAACTTTTTTCCACTAATATTTGCCTGGCGTTGATCTATTTTCTTCTCTTAGACTTTATTACTGCATGTCAGTTGTGGTTTTTTTTTTTTTTTTACACCTCACACCACTTCCCTCACTGTCACTCTCTTCAACTTCATCACTTTTGCTGTTTTAACTTTCTCAACTTCTTCCAGTTCCCACAACTCATCTTCCCTGCCATCCAGAGAACTTGAAACACCACATTTTAGCTCTATTCCCTTTAGCCGTAACCCTTCAGCCACAACCTTCCTTCAGCATTGTTTTACTCTTCAACATCACATCCAGTAAGAGTTTTGTACTGTGTGTAACACTGTCAGCATTACTGTCGGGCACTTTTTTTAAATTCCTCAACGTTTGTATGAAGACGGCTTCTGTGTTTCTTCAGCAGCGTGGCTGGAAGGGCTGTCCAAGTAAACCAGTCTCTCACCTGCATTACCCGTCGAGCGGCAGCAGCTCATCATGAGCCATACGTAGTCCCGTCGCACGCTGCAGGAGCGCAGTGAGCTTCTTGAGAGCTGAAGGTAAACATCAGCAAAGCAAAGGCCAGCCCCGGGCACCAGTCCGGCACACCAACCTGCTGTTGCTATGGAATATTTTGTGCTTTTTTTTTTGAGCTTTCAGTTTAATGATTTCTGTTGTAACTAACTGGGTAACTTAGATTATACACAAATTTTACAACTTCTTCATGAAATCATTCTCTTTTGGGTCACTGAATGATTTCTGCAGCAAGTTAACACAAAAAAAATTAAGTGTTTCCATCTTTTCCCCATTGTCCCCATCATGTCATGTTTCCTCCTGGCCGCACAACCATTAGCTTGGGGTTTTTTTCCCCTCCCCTGCACACAACACAAACGCTTGGAGTTTACACACCACCTTTTAGCACAGTCCCTCCTCCCCTCAGACCGCGCCACAGCTGACCTGCCATGCCACAACTCACTTCAGCACTGGAGGAGACTCCCAAAACTGCCAAAAGCCACACCGTGAGTTCCTGAACTATGGCAGTTGCCTTTGCTATTGTAACATGAGAGGCCCTTTGGTGAAAGGCAGAAGAAAGATTACCCAGAATTTAAGCTGCCTCTTGCTTTTTTCCCTACTTAAACTACCCAGGGAGACAAAACACAACAACAAAACCTTACTTGATTTCCTTCAGGATAAATACAATCTATTTGTGAACTAGGAATTTCACATTGCCATATTGAGAGTACAACAGCACTCTTGCTTTCTTAAACAAAAGCAAAGACAGAGTCTTTAGGTTACAAGCCATCTTGTTGCAGATAACCATTTTTAGGGCCTGTCACCATAACCCTTCTCATGAACAAGCTGCCTTTTCAGCCGGCTTGCTACTTCTACTTTGTAAAACCTGTTCCTAGCTTCCACCGGTCTGTCACCATGCTCACTGGGGCAAGCACTGCTGGGGGTTTTTTCCGTCAGCTGGGAGCTCCACAGCAGAGCAAAAACCCATACCAAAAGGAAGAAAAAAAAATAAAAAAAAAAAAATAAAAAAAAGGGAAAAAAAAAAAAAAAAAAAAAAAAAAAAAAAAAAAAAAAAGGGGGGGGGAAGGGGAGGGGGGGAGAGAAAAAAAAAAAAAAGCCCTCTGTGCTTCATGAAGCAGCCTGGCAAATTCTTACTTATCACTTGTTAAGTTCTGCTAACAAACTAATTTTCAAGATGTATGACCAAATGCACGACCACAGCGCAAGGCACCTCCACCTTTGGGCTGCGGGTGCTAAACCTGCGCCGGGACGAGCCGTACCCCAGGACAGCACAGCAAACAGCCAGGAGGCTTGGTCAAGCTGGTGCTCCTGCTTGTGCTCAGTTTTGAAGCCCATTAGATGAGTCAAAAAAGAATAAGTGGAAAGTGGAAAAATATCAGAAAAACATAGAAGTGTTTCAACTGGCTCCTACTTTTCCAAAACACCGTTAATTCTGAGTAGGGCAAAGCCTGGGCAACACCTGCCAAGGAACTGAAAACACAGACAGGGAAAAACAGCACTGGTGGAACCACTGGCCATCCAGCAGGTCTTGCATATGTAAATAAATAGAAAATTGTGTACATATACACACATACACATGTGCATGTAGGTAAAAGAACAATCAGCTAGATTGAGGCCATATCTGCTCTGAAATGGACACATTCATTTAAATAATTACATTTTTATTCTTAATTTGTTTCCCCTCTCCCCTGAAACAGCCATCAAACCCCTTGTACCACTCGCTTCCACAGTCAACTAAAAGAAAAAACACACAAGGAAAAAAAAAAAAACAACAAAACAACCCCAATGCTGTTGTCAAGATGTTTTTAATAAACTGCTACTGCTCTACTTAAGGAAATCAAAGTTAAATAAAACTCAACCTCCCTGAGCATCCAAACCAGCTCCACCGACAGCATCGTTTCCCGAGCACTGTGTTAGCCAGCTCTGTCCCACACGAGGTCCGCGCAGCAGCTTCACCCGGTGGCCAGCGCCAGCCGCATCCCGCCTCGCGCCCCTGCCCTCGCCACGTCTGCGGGACTTGCTGCAAGGCCAGGGTAGCCCAGTGGCTCCAACACCAAGGCTGTGCAGGTGACGCAGAGACCTTTTTTTATCATTTGAATGAGCTACGTTAAGGTTAAAAAAGCAGGGGGACTCAAATCCCATTTTTTTAAAAATCCATTATATATTTCCTGCATGGCCAATACAGCGATGCTCCTCACCTCCCCGGGAAGAGCCCAGCAGGACCCCAGCCCAGCGAGCAGCTCCGGGAGCTGGGATGGCACACTCGCCCCCAGGGTGTCGGTCCCTTCCCTCTGCAGCCCCCAGCACAAGGTGGGGAGGACCATGAGGGTCATTTTCAGCCAAGACGTTCACGGAGAAAGTGCTTCAATAGGATCATGAAAGATCAGAAGAGGAAGGGTTGGAAAAAGCAGAGCTCTTGCTGACACAGGTAAATCACTCCCATGGTTGGGGGAAGAGAGGCCCCTCTCGTAGAGATGGGTCTTTCACAAAGTACACGAGGGTGGAAGAGATACGCAGTGGTGATGTACGTGAACACAGCGTAACCGTAACGAGCCCTTACGTGGAGAGGCAGCCACAATATGAGATCAGAGAAACGATACCAGGCCAAAGAGACTCGCCCGCCCAGCGCTAGCTCATCCCTGCTGTGCACGTGACACATCTACAGTGACACCTGACAACATGAGCTGGATGCTCACCTGTTCACCTGCTTCCGAAGGCCACACCGCGCTTCTTACCAACACCTCCGGGACTGCCACGCTCAACAGTGCTTGGAACAGGTCAGACTTGCCACTCGTAACGCGAGACCTGAGGAGGAAGCAAGAGGGCTTGTCAGAGGGAAGGACCCAGGTGAGCGTGGTGGCCCGCGGCAGACCTGCTCTCCACACTCACCCCATCGCACTGGCATCTGCTCAGCCTGGAACGGCTGAGGAAGGAACATGGCTCCAGGCAGCAGTTGCAGAACTGGCACATTTATACGGCCAGTGACTCCATGGGAGAGCGACACAGCTGAAAAACTCCTGAGCTGGCCTTTCCCAGCCAGGGCTACTTCCACCCAATGAAGAATACACACAGCGGCTCATCTTGCACCAGGTTCTATGTATTATCAGACCGGCTGATAGGTAATAACATGTCTTCTTTAGCAGAAAGCACAACATTGGTCAGTAATTATTAAAAACAAACAAAAATTTAAAACAAAACAAAACCAAACCAAACCAGCCACACATACTCAACCGCACAGATCTGCCAGCAGGCGAGTCTCTGGAGTGCAAGTCCGGGAGGGCATCCTCCCACCGCAACAGCAGCCCGCAGGCTGAGGTCTGTGCCACCTAACCTAGGCAGTGGAGTCCGTGACCACCCGGCCTCTGAGAAACATTTAAAAAAAAAAAAAAACAAACACCATACTCTGCTGACAAGTTAGCCAACAGCAAGTACATCAGAACTCATCCAAAAAAAAAAAAAAAAAAAAAAGGACAAGTTTGCTACTCACATGAAAAAATATCAAGACAAGTTGCCTTTCCGTCCTGTAACGCCCAATTCTATCAAGGCTGTCGAGAACAGTACAATGCTAACATTTCTGCAGGTTGTTTTGTTTTTATAAAGATAGCCGTCAAGCAGTTCATAACCAAAATTTTAAAATTTAAAGTTCCTAGAAGTCCTACACTTGGTTTTATGGCCTAATTAAACAGGCCTGCAAATAGGTTGTCAGGCTTTGTTTTCCTGAAGGAACAAATTGAGGCAGGGGGTGAAGCAGGACATGACATGGACTAACTCCTCCTGTGTTCCCTTCAGACAGCGCAGAGACAAAGAAAACCAGCAACCTGCACCTTCTCTGCTAGCTTCCAAGATTTTAGACATGCCAAGACATCAGTTCTGGCTTGGGAGGCCTGTTTAGATGGGATCTAGCAAGTTTTAAAATTTACGGAGGGGAAGCCAGCAATAGTTTTCTATAGAAGTGCGATGAAGGAGATGACCCTACAGAGGAGTGCTGCTCCAGTACATTGAATATTTTTGGAAACCATCTTGATTCCCCTTGAAAAACAAAACCAATAACCCAAACACTTGCCTGCAGTTTCTCGCGGTGAACAGGGTTATAAAAGCCTACGAACCTACAAGGCGTAACAGTTACACAGCAGCCCAGTTACAGCTATCCGGGAAGGTATTAACACTTGTACACCTCTATATATTAATCTTTATAAATACAGTATTCTACACGAGGAACTGTAGAAAGACGTCATTCAAGGTTATCTTTTTTTACAAAAGCTTGCAAGGGCTTTTGTTCAGATCTCTGCCTTTTATTCTGCCAGTCTGGAACACTTGCTCTTTTTCCTCCTTCATCTCCCACCCAGTCCTAAGCGGCTTGGTTAGCTGTAACAGTCAGGTCCAACCACTGTGCTTTGCCATTCGAAGCAGTGGGAAGGAGGCCACATGAAGAGCTGCTCTACAACTTTCAAGGGTGAAAAGCTAAAGTGTGAGGCAGGTTCAGAGTCCCGGGGGAAGCGGGCAGTCATAGTTCATCCCTGGAGGACGGTGCGTTGAGAGACGACTGGGAAGGCAGGGCATCCTTGTTCTGGGCGTCGCTATGGATCTTGCCCTGCTGCCGGGATTTCCAGGAGTGTGTTCTGTCCCAGTCCGTGGAGACAGTCTCGTTGTCCCAGATTGTAGAGGTCTCTGTGTCGCTGAGGTAGCCTGGCTGCCCTGTGTAGTGGGTGGGGTAAACAAGCAGGGGTTCTGCTGAAAAGGCTTTCAAGTCTCTGGACTCGTAGTACTCCATGTACTTCGCTCTAACGAGGGGAGAAAAATCATCAGGAACAGAGTGAACCTTCATCAGTGTCACTGCCTATAACTGAGAGATACAAGCCAATCCACGGAGCAAACAGGTCCCAGGGAGTGGAGGTAGCTACTGGGGTGGGTCTAAAGCAAGTCTGACTCTCTACAGCCAGAACCACGTGCCTTACAACCACACACAACCTATACAACCGAAGCCTCCGTTACCAGAGACAGCCAAGTGTCTCAGAACCAGCCCGCAATAGGGACAATAACCCCTCTGCAGCAGGGCTGTCACCTCCTTTGACCTGTGCCAGGAGCTCTGCTGCAGACAACCAAAAAGCACAAGGAGTAGCCCTGTCCCCCGCCAGCCAGGCTGCAGAAGTGGGACACACCAACGTGATCTGGCTTAAGATCGTTCAGCAAGACCCAGCTCGCGTCAACCCAAGCAACGAAGGCATCCTACTTACACAGGGTGCTTGTTGTACATGACCGGCAGAAATTCATCTACAGGCAACATCTTGCTGAAAGGCTCAGCTCCGATGAGTTTCTGAGCCCCTTGGAAAGAGATTGCGTACCCCAGGGTCCAGTACGAGTAGTCAGCTTCCACCAGGTTCATGACATTGGGAACTGCTTTCTCAGGCTCCTGCACTTGCATCCTTTTCCGGCCAATGTAGCTTAAAGGGTGAAAAGACCATGGAAATTGGAACCAAAGCGAATCTGCAGCAATTAGGACCGCAAGACTGTTCATGTCAACCAGGGAAGGGCAAAGGGTCAATCCAAGAAGTAATCCCCAACCAGGCTCACAGATTTCTATCCTGCACCACTCCCAGACATCCAAGTCTTAACCCAGTGGGTGGTATAGTTGTGAGAGACTTCATAAGGGAGCTAAGATGACACGGTCCAAGCCTCAGGACCGAGCTGTGTCAGTTCCTCTGTCACAGCAGCATCTCCAGACACTGTTGAGATCAACCAACACTGCCCACAAAGGGCACTAACGGTACCCAGTGGGCAGTAACGGTACCCAATGAGCATTGCAGCATCAGCCTGCCCCAGAAGGCAGATCTGGTCTGATGGGAAGAGCCACCAAGAAGTCTCTGCCACCTTCCCCTGCACTCCAGCATTAACCTACATCTCTATCACGACACAGCAGGTGCTGCCGACCTCCTCTGCGAGCCCAGAAGTTCCCAGGTGGCTGAGGGCCAGTAACTTACATAAGCTCCCAGTCTAGCTGGGCTTGTTCAATGTCATCCATCAGCTTCATGAGCTTCCTTTTAAACTGGTGTTCAAAGCGCACATCATCCTCAATAACAAGTGTCTTCTCCAGTTCTCTGTTTACCACCTGAAACAAGAGGGTTCAGAAGTAATGACAGTGGCACACATGGGCCACTCCCCTGCCCCCTGAAATTGTTGGGGTCATCCTGACCTGGTACTGCCTTCTAGACCATGCAGGTGGGGAGGCTGCAGAACCACTCCCAGATTCACAGCTCAGCTGGGAGAGACTGCAAGTGCCAAGAGAACAGTCCTGAAAATACCCCGTGGCTGAGCATCTGCAACCTAGAAAAACCCTCCATCTGATGTTGCACCACCTAGAACCCATGAGCTACCGTCTAGCATGACCACAGCAATCACCTCCTCAGAGGAACGTGCAGCAGCCTTTGATGCCAAAGCTGCTGTTCAGAAAAACCTCTTTGTTGGAAGAAAGTGTTCCTGAAGTCTGGGAGGGAGGACAATCTAGCATATCCAGTCTGGCCCTGACGACTTAAGAGAACACACATGCAAAGGCATCCTGCATGTAGGTTCCCATGTTATCATCTGACCATGGCTTACCCGACCAACCTAGTGGCCTTCTATGATGGAGTGACTACATCAGTGGACATGGGAAGAGCTACCGATGTCACCTATCTGGACCTCTGTAAGGCCTTTGACACGGTCCCCCACAACATCCTTCTCTCTAAACTGGAGAGGTACGGATTTGATGGGTGGACTGTCCAGTGGGTGAGGAATTGGTTGGATGGTCACATCCAGAGGATAGTGGTCAACGGCTCAATGTCCAGATGGAGGTTGGTGATGAGTGGTGTCCCGCACGGGTCCGTATTGGGACCAATACTGTTTCATATCTTCATCAATGACATAGACAGTGGGATCGAGTGCACCCTCAGCAAGTTTGCTAGATGACACCAAGCCGAGTGGTGCGGTCGACATGCCTGAGGGACGGGATGCCATCCAGAGGGACCTGGACAAGCTCGAGAAGTGGACCTGTGTGAACCTCATGAGGTTCAACAAGGCCAAGTGCAGGGTCCTGCAGCTGGGTGGGGGCAACCCCCAGTACCAATATAGGCTGGGGGATGAAGGGA